AACAGGGAATCGTTCTGGAACATGAAATTTTACCAAGAGTAACTATCATACAATTAAATCTACAAAAAAATCTTATCGAAATTTAACAAGGAAGTGGTATTTAATGAATATCAAAATTCAATCGATTAATATGTATTTGATAACAACTATGGAACTGTTGTTTTTTTCAAGTATACGGATATTGTTTATTTTATCGGGTAAGAAATTAAATTACTGAAAAACATGAAAGCAATTATGAAACCTAAATATCAAGATAAACATTTAAATTTGCTTATATTACATTGAGAACTAAGATCAACATTGAAAAGTTCACATTTTAGAGTGCTTTACCTCTTATAGTAATAATATTCTGTTTATCCCTGATTACACGAATTTCCTGTGACTTGTAGTTAAATTAATGAAACCATATGTAATAAGCTATATTTTCTATAAAGTCAATTATAGAATGGTTCTTGGATCTCCAGTCATTACGCCCGTTGTTCATGCAGACGTTACTACAGGACAAACACTACTCGTAATGCATGGTCCAAGTTTGGAACCCGTTTTTCGATGTCAGTTTGAAGCTTTAGCTGATATATACTCATATGATGTTTCGTGGTTCATAAACGATGATGAAGTGGTAAATTTTGTTAATACTACATATGCTGACATTGAGGCGACACTACTGAAACCTATCCATTGGACTGGTACTTACAAGTTGAACATGTTGGTAAGGATCAAGAAGTTCGTATTAAAACTCATCGTAATTTTTTTATATAGTAACCCTTTTATATGAACAGCAAACATGTTGTAAAATTATTTATGGAGATATGTCTCTTGGTAACAATGAGGAGTTCACATCAAAACTATTAATTGATTGCTGACGAACATATATCTCTTCTTTTGCATAGATGATATTGATGTGATTAAAAATAACCCCCCCCCCCCCCCCCTTTGGTAGCTTGCGGAAAACAATTGGGTTAGATCAAGTCAAGACAAAGTCGCATTACTGAAATTTTTCGGTGACTATTTGATAAACATTAAAATACACAACAATGTATCACTCAATGATATCGTTCCATTACCTCATATCAACATATTTTAACCGACGGTAAATACTATTGTGCATTTTTTGGTAAAACGTCTGTTTTTGTAAGATTGTTGTTCAGTTCAAACGACAAGAACTCGCAATGAAGCTCTGTTTTGCAGTTTTTGGCAATTTTAGCATTTTCTAACTACATGAAGTTTGAATCCCTAAAGTAGAACGAAACTATGTATAGCGAAACAATCAGCAAAAATAGATAAACTAACCATAATTTTCAGTATTTGTAGACTCCTTATGGCAGATAACTGGTGATTTTTTTACCAATTCTAGATTTAACCATATGTCTTAAAACTTTAATCTTAAGACAGTAAATCAGTTCAGCACACAGCTACACAGTTTCTATCAAACCAAATTTTCTTATTGCAATGCATCATGTGTATGCAAAAATGTTTGTAGGCTCGTAGGGTTTTGGGATTATCTGCGTATTTCGTTTACTGAATAAAGTTCTAAAAAGGGAAATGAATAACTGCTTAACACGAAAAGAATTTTACCAACATTTGCATTTTATTACGACATCTTGTAGTTAAATATCTGGGGTTTTTTTTTTAGACTGTGGTTTCATTTGGATTTTGGTGCTTTTTAGCATTTTTAAATTGAATGCAAGAAGTTTGAACCCCCACAGTAAATTTCTGTCCTTTTCTTTCATGTCTAGAGTCTTGTCCGTCGGCTAAATTGCTCAGAAGGAGACAACAGTTGTAATAATTATTGCAATAGTTATGAAAAAATTGAATGAACTGTTATTTGCAAACGATAAAACTACGGAAAAAACTAAAATCAAATATTCTGAACATGTCTTACTTTCTCCTAAAAAATGATTTCGACGAGCCATTATTTTATTTGTCGACTCGAGTTGTTTGCTTTGCTTCTTTGCTTTGCAATGTTAGTATCATTTATCAAAAAAAGGAATTACTAAATGTAAACAAAATAAGCATGATTTTTGCATTGCACCAGGTTGTTTTTTTCTTCTCAAACTGATTACAAAACATCTATTGAAGATAGACTGATATATATTAACATGCATGTCTAGGAGTTCTTGGAATTTTTATTAGTTGAAATTCGGCTTTGAGCTAGCTTCAACTAGCTACAAGTACATTTAAATCGATACTGTGTTAGCCCTTTTTGTTTATTGTTTTATGCATAGTATCGATCTGATTTTTCATATTTTAACATTCCCTGGCCGTTTACTGGTTGTTATGCATATGTATATATATTGGGTTTTTTTAAAGCCCGAACGGTGATCTATAGTTTTTCATACCCTTGTCTTTTTATATATTTCTCTCATGTGCAATCATACCACATTCTCTCGTTACAAGATGAAATGAACACGTATTAACTGTATTATTTCGATTTGATGACTTTTCAATTTATAATTTAAAAGATTTTTAGCAGACCTGTCCTTTTTTCATTTTATTAGCATACGTTAACTTAAAACTCAATTAATCATATATACAGAAATATTGACGCGGAATCAATGTCATAAATTTAGCTTATAAATATGCTGAAATTAATATAGCATATGCTAAAGTCATTAATTATGACCTTGATTCCGCGCCATAAAAGTCATAGTTGTTTATATTCCAGTCATATTTTTATCCATGAAAAGATACACGCACTTAAATGTTTATTTGCAGGTTCGGTGTTCAGTTAGAATTAGAGACGAAAACTTAACGCAAACAGGACCTTCTTATGAAAGTGAAATTTATATAGCTGGATTAATAGTAAGTATATTAAAAAAAAAAATCAAAATTTTTCTCAATCTTTCGTTTTTTGTCATGACTTTGTCACGTTCTCTTCGACTTCCTAACGTCCTGTTGATATCTCATTCTCCTTTTAAATGTCTCTTTACTAAAACTTGAGGCCAAAAATTTGAAAACACAAAAACTGATACAGGCGTTAAAATGCTAGTAAAACCAAAAAGATCATAAAGTGTACACAAACCAGAACAAAATACCAGAGCTATGCGTAAATTTTAGAGAACTATCACAAATTTGCACATAATGTTTGGAAATGCATAAAATCAAGAAATTTAAAGCTGCAAAAGACTTTTGATGTTATGACGTCACAGTTTCGTCATTATATGCATCGTTTCATGAAAACGGAAAAAACTGCAGAATCTATATAGAGGTACTGTATTACAGTCCACTAATAGAGGTGTCTGTGTCTACCTTTAGGTAGAAATACATCAACGGTACCACCGAATACATCACAAGGTGCACATTTCAACAAAAAATGTCTCTTTAGTGACGCTCTAGATCTAGGCCAAAATATGGAGAGAAAAAAAAACAAACAAAAAAGACCTGCACCAATATACTGATGAATTGATAAAACAAAAGTAGTTTCAAGATTTAAGTGTAATTACAGTTCAAAAAAAAATCGAGGTGAACCGGTGTATTCCCGAACTATGTTAGTTCCTGTTCCTCTCAGGCCAGTGCAACATTCGAATTCGTGTCTCATTCGGTAAACGAGGAAGGCAGGGTGAGCGACGACAAATAAAACATATCCAGAGTTATTTCTGTCAAAAATTCCCGTAACGGTCTTAAATTTATGTCAGGTATTTTGTCTGAATACCCCTATTATCAAAAAGTGTTCATGGACCTATTGAAGGAGACATAAAAAACACAGAAACACAGTTCCATCATACTGTGTAGTCCTGATTTCAACCTTAATTACCATTCTGATTTCGTTTTTTGGCACAAGGGATATGGAATGGTAACCAATCGCCCTGCAGAATTGGTCACGCCATATACTTCTAAAATTTAGCCGCAACCTGATTAAAATACAGATCATGTGTGAGGGTGGGGGGGGGGGGGGGGGGGGGGGGGGGGGTCGGAGCGGTCCTGATCCCGAAATCCCGGGCTTAAAAACATGAAATCCCGAGGTCCCGAATTTAAGGAAATTTAAATCCCGACATCCCGAAATTCGAAAAAAGAATTCCCGGATTCCGAAAGGATCAATCCCGAAATCCCGAGCTTAAAAACACCCGATCCCGGAGTCCCGATAAAGGTCCGACGTCCCCTCATGTGTCGTCGCTTTACTTTTATAACATGGATCAAACAACACATCAGTAGATGAAACTTCAGCCTCAATTTTTAAAGATGTGTATCATTTCAACAAAACCAGAGGATCCCGAAAGTTTAAATACAGAAAGTTGAACGGAGCATTTTCAGATGCTTGTTAGCAAAGTTTGGACAGAGGATCTGTAATTTAATCAAATTGATTTAGTCAAACAATGTTATTTCTATATATATGCGCTAAAAACTCCTTCTGCACTGTGTCTAGTGCGATAAAGACCACTCGTCAATCGAGGCTATACAAAATATATCTATCTTAAGTTGAGGGATACATTTCCCTATCGCATAAAGTTTGTAACACAGTTCTTGGTATAACTTTACCGTCTTGTAGATCAGATGTTTCGTTCAGTAATGTTTTAATATTGTTTGGCTAAATTGAAAACGAGGAACATGTTCATGCTGCCATGTGCAATGAACTGTGCTACAAACCTTAATTCATTTCTCTTTGAAAAATTTCTTCATTGTACGAAAAATAGGTTTCGAAAATACCGATGTAAAGGAAAGTAACACTTTATAACTTCGTGCGTCTGACGCGCTTTTCTGAATTTACCTTCTTCGGGATAACTCAAACCTTAACATTTGAAAGCCAGGTATAATATATAAATACTTAGAAACGTTAGGATATAATAACCATATGACCATGAGATTGAAAACTGTGTAAAAAAGTGCAGTTTGAAATACTGACAGCAAGCAACACAATAATTGTTCTTCAAAGGACAAAATTATAACAATCATAGTAATGGATCTTAATGATTTATTTTGTCGAAAATCTTTAAAGCATATATTATACTTAAGTTACTAGTACAAATGTATATAAGGCATATATATATATATTTTAGCCAGAAAAATTTGAATATAATGTCCAAGAAGGAAGTTCAATAACCATAAGGTATAATGCCACGGTTTCTATTGGCTGTCTTGCAACTGATCTCTTACCATCGTGTCGACAGAAATTCTACGTGTCGTTACCAGCATATCAGGACCGTTATCAGTGTAGAGCATCTCAATATGATTTGCACCTACGCAGACAACCATGTGGATTAGAAATATATGCCAATGACTGGAAAGAACCGATTGAATTGGTGGTTCATGGTAAAACAAATGGACTAAATGTTGAAATGGATCGAACAACATTCATTCATTTGAAGAGTATAATAGATTTACCTACAAATGTTTGGAATGATGCAAGGATTCCAGAAGTAAAGGTACGTTTATTCTGTTTCATGATATATATTTTATACTGGACAAAACATTACAACAGGGAGAGAATACACAATTGTAGAAAATTATGTTTATTAGTTATTTTCTTTTTCTTTTTTTTTCTATTGTTTTGGTCTTGTGGTGTCATTCAAATTTCTTCGTGTTCTTAATTTAAGATACATCGATTTTTTTTTTGATTACTCAAAAAGCAAAAACAAGTAACGGCAGTTATTGTTATCAATTATCTTTAGGTTGTTGTTTCAAGAGCTGTGTACAACATGACAGGCCGACAGTGCCATTCATACAACGACCCACATATACGAACAGCTGACGGTACAAAGTTTGATACCACTGAAGAAGGCGAATTCATAATGTACAGAAGTAAAAGAGGACCGTATGCGGTGAGTATTTGTTAACTGACAGTCAATTGATATCGTGAACTTTAATTTAATTCTGAGAGATGTCGTCTATTTTTATTGGTCCATCGAGTACTCTCTTTTTGTCAAATTGTATAACAGATAAAATGTACAAATCTGATATAACAAAAAAACGCGCATGCAGACGAAAAGCAGCATTACAATTATGCGCCGAGTACGAGTAATTACCTCATCGGAAATAAATTGCATGTTCACATAAGAGTAATATGATAATTCTATTTTTAAAATCAAAATGTTAGATGGATGACAAAGCAAATATGGCATTTTAGGAACGTAGTGGTGAAGCTAAAATCTATATAGATAATATATCTTAATTAATGCTCGTAAAAGAAAAGTATTTCAATTTGAAAATCACTAGACCACCAAAGCAATGTTATCTCCAGAGTCTATATTAGATATAGTTATCCACGATTGTTCCTCAATGCAGCAGAATAGCATGAGTAAAATGAGAAGAGATATGTCACGAATTTCACCTTTTTCGATAAAACGAATAAACGAGAAAAGCATAAAGGCTTAATCTATTTATAAAGTTGAAAATGGACTTGATTTCAATAACTGTACATGTGAGTGCTCTTGGATCGATACTTTGTTCCTCTTGGGGTTTTTTGTTTTTTTGTTTTATTGTTGTCTATATGCCGTCGTTTATTGAAATAAGGAAAATTAAGCTAACGTTTCAATTTAGAAAATTTTCGGATTTTGATCCTTGCAGCTGAGAATTCAACTAAAAGATTTACGGCATTTTATTTTACATGTCACGCATTAACTTGAGTATGCTGACTTCAATTTACTTTCTTTTTAGTGCAGTAAATTTACATTTATCATGTTTTACCAAAAAGGTTAGTGTCGTAGTGTACGCATGTATATCTGGGGGATAGTGTTAGACATTTATAAATTTGCTTTGATTTGGAGTATTTAGTGTGAAGTTTATGTTTCTTATACCTGTCAATCAAACACCATGACCGCTATGGCTAAATATACAAAGCATGATGGTATCCGTAGAATTTAAAAAAAAGATGATTTCCTTTTTTTCCAATTATAAACATTTTTCTTGAAACCATTAATCCTTTGTCAAGGAAAGTATGATAGTAAACACAAGCCCTGCAACATTGCAACAACTATTCATTTTCTGGCGCTCCCGGAATGTTACTTTACAAGTTGTCAGTTCACAACGAAAAAAACTAAATTCGTATCGTAAAAATTACAAAGTAGCACAAGATTTTTAGATATACACGAAATTAAAAATAAGGAAATGGTGGTTTCCTTTATACGAGGTGTCAATTTACCAGGTGGACGATTTAGACTCCAAAAAAGCTCTAAATGTAAAAGGGCATTAGCTACCAGATATTAACAAAATTGAAATATGATTGTTTTTAGTTCAATCATTAAAGTGGAACAATGAAATAATAATTCGCTTTTAGCAACTAGTTTGGTTTAATTTTGTCAAAATAAGCTAAGAAACATTGCTGATGACTTATTCACTTGCAAGTGATTAATTCGACCTCACTGAATCCGTATTCATGTGACCTTCAATTTAACCCTTGGCTAGAAACTAAGCTTGTTCGGCTATTAAAAGGAAAATAATGTCAACATTGAAAGTGAAGCAAGGGTGAACCATCTGGTTAACTGATTCGATACACAAAAACTAATTCTTATACAGGTAAAAACGATGATTAATATATTTATAAACCTATAATATAAAATCAAACAGACCTACGAAAATCCAATTGCATGTGTTCGCTATCTTTATATATATGTTTATGTTTATGTATCGGGTTATATGACCGTCGACAGTCTTCGGAGTTCACCTGGATGGTTAATTAGAAGGCGACTAGACAAAAATACACACGAAATGATGATACATATTATTGAGTCCATGCATCATAAATTGTTTATTCTAGACTTTTTAATAATATGGATATACGTTTTATTATGTTATAAATTAAATATGAGAATTTGATTTAAATCGGTGAACATGAATTTGACTTTACTGTAAACAATTTTGTTAAAGAAGACAAATATCGAATATCATTATAAAAATTCAGAGTTCATATAGCATGGAAATTAGAAAGTGATTTAAGGATGTTCGCTACTCAGTTTCAAAATAACAAACTTTTTATAAGACTGTTATGAATTGATAGTATATAAATAAAGAAGCTAAAAAAGGGTCCGTGCGCTTGTTTTCGAGACATAAGCCATTGAAAATTTGGCGGGAAATAATTCTCTCTAGATTTTTCATACACTTTACATTTGCACCTTTTTTCTTTAAAAAACGATGAAATAATAACAAGGATTTTGTAAGATTTTCAAAGATGACATTTTAAACTATATGTAATCAAATTATGGAAAGAAAAGTAGGGGTTAATGGATAAAAATTTTAAATGGCACTGCATTGATAAAACCAGAGGTTTCCGAATATCTGGCAAAATTTCAAAAACAAGAGGAGCAAAAATCCTTAAAACAATATCAAAACATGGAAATATCAATACATGACAGTATTGTTGATCGAAAACTTACTTTTGGCACTCGCGAAATTTGAAAAAAAAAAATATTTTTAAGAAAGTAAAATCTGACAAAGTCACTACTCTCCGACTTTGTAAATATAATATAACTTGTTTGTGTATGTATCAATACATTTATTGATTCATTGGCCAAATTGCCTTGTCTAATTCCAAATGTTCCCACTACGACCATTAAGTTAAATTATATAACCAAATTCATTATATTAATATAACGAACTACGTTTATAGTGCAGTTATGTCACTAGTCCCAAGAAATTCGTTATCACCAAATTTTACTGTGCAATGCAGGTACATGTCCTTTTTGGGAGTTGTGGAACGGATACAGCACTTGCATCATGCAACTGTGGCGTTGCAATTAGAAATAACCAGTCATTGTTTCTAGTGCGTACTGCATGTGGAACCGGAAGTAATACTGTTAAAATGAACATTGGATCACCCAGTCCATACATAGAAAGGAGAAATTGTGATCAGACCTCTATGATAATTGAGCAGTATGAGAATTTCTATCAGGTAAGTGTATATTTGATGAGACAATGCAAATTAAAACGCATTGTCTCATACGTCGAGATGAAAATGAAGCCTACAATTCTGGCATTTAAAAGTTACTCTTATTGCTATTGCTGCTGTCTTTATCATAAATGAAACTTTCAAAGAGCTTATCACGATACATGTAACACCTAGATTTCTTAATATCTTTTTGTAGAACTAGGACACATGGAAATATCTTTTTTTCAGGTAACTCTTCCAACTGGAACAGAAATTGAATTCTATATTTCAAACGGCTTCATTCCGGTCTTAAACATAAAGCCATCTGTAATTGATGTCGGAAACACAGAAGGATTGTGTGGTTTCATTAGCCCTGATGGAAACGCTAATGATGATCTTATTTCAAGAGATAGTCCATTAATTGGATCAGATGTTCCAGTTTTTGTAGCTTCTTGGAGGTAAAAAAATCACATGCTTCATGTACAAGTTATGCACTTGAAATATGTGAAATTTTCGAATAAAATTAAAACAAAAACTCTTGCTTTCCAAACTAGAACAAACACTATTATTCAGACAGCATAAATTATATTAAATATGTTGGGGGAAATGAAACTATATTTAACAAAATAATTGTCTGTTTTTTTTTTATATTTTTTCATGGGAAATGCCTAATCTGCGTTTACATTTCGGTATATACCTTAAAATTTATATACGTTTCAGAACATATTACAATTCGATTTCATCTTCAAATAATCTTAATTACATGTCTTGCTGAATGCCGTTATAATAACCAGTAAAAGTATTATTCTGCAGGGCAACATCAGATGAAGAACTTTTTGTTATTGAACCGAATCTGCCAATTACATATCCATTTTTGAAACAGTTTTGTGACTGCCACGTAGATGATTATACCAGCAATTATGAAAACAATTTCAACACAGTTGATTGTAGTTTATCTGAGTCTATGGTTCCATGTCTTCAAATTCAAAATTCACATTTTAAATCTTTTGAAAACACCTGTGAACCAAGCAACAATATAAGAAGGAAAAGATCATCTGGCAACCAATACGTTAAGTTTCCAGTGAATGATCCTGATGATGTCATGGACACATACTGGACCGATAACAGAAACGATTCTTTTGATCAACAGAGTGTTCCACAGGTATACAGTTATTCTAACCATAAAACAGAGATTATGACTTTTAGACAACGGAGATTTGTGTTGCAAGGGACTTATTTGGTTTGTATTTGCACATTTTGATTGGAACTTGAAGATTTCACAGCACGTCAATTTTTAAGTAAAGATAAAAAATGTACTTTAGTCCCCGATACGTCTCAATAACATACATAAAACAGCTGTTTGAAAGCGTTTTTCTCATTTTTTTTTTTAGTTTTTCTTTTATTATAACTAGAGGCTCTCAAGAGCCTGTGTCGCTCACCTGTATCTACTGTGGTTTTTGAAATTATTTAAAATAAGGTTAAAATCATAATAAATAGTATTAGATACCCCAATTATGATTGAAACCAAGTTTGGTTTAATTTGGCCCAGTAGTTAAATTAAAAGCAGGTCATCCCATTGTAGTCTTACAATAGTTACTGAAGACCCCTCATCATTATTTAAATTAGTTTTCAAGTTGTGACCATTTGAAAGCTAACGAACTCCGAGGATACGATGTCTCAGATTGACATATTAGTGTCTGCAGCATAATTATGTGGTAATCCTTTTTAGAGAAAAAAACATTGATAAAAACGATTGAATATGATGTATAATTGAATTAGTTAATGAAATTGTTTTTTTTTACAATTTTCCCATATACTTCTATAGTAAACGCCTTTGTTCTTTTTTTAGCCATGGCGGCCATCTTGGTTGATCGGATACATTTTTTACTAGATACCCTAAGGATGATTTAGGCCAAGTTTGGTTTAATTTGGCCCAGTAGTTTCAGAGGAGAAGATTTTTGTAAAAGATTACAAAAAATTAAGAAAAATAGTAAAAAATTGACTTTAAAGGACAATAACTCCTTATGTGGTCAATTGACAATTTTGGTCATTTGACTTATTTGTTGATCTTACTTTGTTGAACAATTTGGCTTTTTACAGTTTATCTCTATCTATTATTATATTCAAGATAATAGCCAAAAACTGCAATTTCCTTAAAATTACCAATTCAGGGGCAGCAATCCAACAACGGAATGTCTGATGCGTCTGAAAATGTCAGGGTAGATAGATCTTGACCTGATGAACATTTTTACCTTGTCAGATTTGCTAGTTTCAGAGATATAAGCCAAAAACTGCATTTTACCACCATGTTCTATGTTTAGCCATGGCGGCCATCTTGGTTGATGGGCGGGGTCATCGGATACATTTTTTAACTTAGATATCCTAAGGATGATTTAGGCTAAGTTTGATTAAATTTGGCCCAGTAGTTTCAGAGCAGGAGATTTTTGTAATGCTAGTTTCAGAGATATAAGCCAAAAACTGCATTTTACCACCATGTTCTATGTTTAGCCATGGCGGCCATCTTGGTTGATGGGCGGGGTCATCGGATACATTTTTTAACTTAGATATCCTAAGGATGATTTAGGTTAAGTTTGATTAAATTTGGCCCAGTAGTTTCAGAGCAGGAGATTTTTGTAAAAGTTAACGGACGACGACGGACGACGACGGACGTCAGGTGATGAGAAAAGCTCACATGGCCCTTTGGGCCAGGTGAGCTAAAAATAAGGAAATGTGGTATGATTGCCAATGAGACAACTATCCACCAAAATTCAAATGAAGTGGATTTAAACAATTATAGGCAACCGTACGGCCTTCAACAATAATTAAAACCCTAAACCGTATAGTCGGCTGTATAAAAGACCCCGACATGAAAAATATGAAACAATTCAATTGAGAAAACTAACAGCCTTATTTATAACAAAACAATTTTCGAAAAACAAAATGGCAGATATGAACCAACGACAATCACTGAACTGCAGGCTCTTGTTTGTTTCTTTTTTTGTATTTTTCTATTCATTGTTCCCTTGGTTTTTTTTTTGCTGGTTTGCTTTTATTGGGGGGGGGGGGGGGCTGGTTTAAGTGGGGGATGGCTGTGTCCTCTTTTCTTTTTATGAATGATATATATGAAAATATACATTGTCCAGGTTCCGGAAGAGGTACTGACAAATTATTAATTGACGGGTATGAGGGTTTTTCAGTGTTCATCCTCCTTCTGAACACTATAAATAATGCATGTTTTACATGTTTACACTTACTGAATTCAATCTGAAAGATTTAAATCTGTTGATATAGACACCATGCCTACTTCAACTCTTATATCGATCACTGTACTTCATAGTAGATTTCATAACTCAAGGTTTGTATCAATGCAGAAAAACCCTATGATGCCTCAAAAGAAATAGTTAATCTTTCGCTCAAATTAAGTGAAAAATAAAAAAAAAACGTAACGTTTCATTGAAAAAAGGTCAGTTGAGCCCGGTATACGGTGAATCGTGCAATTCTGCGACCCCGATCACGCAAATTCAAAGATTTATAGTGTTATTTTCTCATTGAATTCCGTATAAATGCAAAAAAGGAGAATATTTAATACGTAATGTCTTTTTTATCCTCTTTTAATTAGAAATTTCAAATTATTATAAATCTCTCAATAACACCACTGAAGACATGTTTGTTAGATATAATTAATACGTTTTAATTAATCTTTCGTATTTGCTTTAAGCCTTTAACTTTCTGCAATTAAGGGAAAGCTGCATAAAACTGACAATAAATTTATATCTACTTCAATCCTTTTGAGAACTTGGCATTAACATTTAACAGTCCTACCTGTATAGACATTTTTCTGTATACAAGATGTCATGAACAAAGAAAGTGGTGTGGGTAAACATTGTTGTCGTTGTACATATTTGCTTTTTTTTTTAAAGACAATCTGGTCAAACATGTAAATAATATCATACCTTTAGCGTTACACTGAATTTACAAATGACATGTCTTCTTAAAAGGGACCGCATTACGTCACCCCTTTCGTCTGAAATACGATTAATTGATTTTGAATGAATATAGGAATTACTATATCATATGAACTTACTCGGCCTTAGTAATGGCTTTTTGTTTTAACCCTTTTGTTTCAACATGTTATTCGCCTTCTTAATTTTTTTTTTTCTATATCTATTTCGATGCTTCAAATTACAGATACAAATACAATAAACTTCTCGACCTCGAACATAACAAGCAGCTATTGTATGATTTCATGACTAAAACTTAATCCATTTTTCTCTATACAATGTTTATAAAATTAACAAGCCTAATATGTTCTTTTGATGTTTCCTTGAAAACAGTAATCTGTAAACATGATTTTATTTTTCTTTAAATGTATAGTCCAGGTGGAAAAATGGTTGGAATTGGAAAAAAGCACGACCTGAATGTGAACACCAATTAACAAAGAGAATATCACCTGATATATTTACATTCGTCCCGATGTTAACTATAAAAGATTACATAGAGTCCTGCATAACAGATATTAAGGTATACTTGTGATAAGTTTCAATGTGCAATTTACACAAATGAAGTTAAAAAGATTGTAAACTGAATGTAGAAATAAATATATATTCTTCCACAATACTAAGTTGATTATGATATTCGTTATTTCTGTGGGAAATTTTGTATTTTTTTCGTAACTCTTGTAGAAATTATAAAATTTTGTTGTGGCATGTATATTAGTACGGTGACAAGTAAGGTAAATTTAAAAATTTAATGGACCGAAATACCTCACGACTAATTTTGGTCTTATTTTGAAGATAAATATAATACCCTTTGATTATGGCATATCGTAGAGTGTCAAAGTGGTGCAGATTTTTGAAAACTGTGGTCAAAGGTCAAAAGGGAGGATTTTAAAAAATCGCAAATTTTGGACATTTTGGACAATTTATCGGTAGTTCATGATAACTGAGAAATTTATTCTATGGAAGCATGCTCAGGGAATGCTCCACGAATTCAGCTTGTCATATTTATACCTGATTGCCAGAGATTAGTGATGTATACCCTCGCTTCCAACATGTAAGAAAATGAAAAAAAATCTTTATCTGCGGAAATTGTCGACAAAAAATATTCATATTTAATATTTAACTATGCAATAATATATGACAACATATAATGATATTTTTGGGAAAGTTTTGTTAAAATGCCATAAAGAACAGATGAGAAATAAGTACTGTAAAGTTAACATCCGGTCCATGATTTAATACAAACATGAGGAAATTCATTATTGATTATTTAAACACAAAAGAATGTTGGAACTATAAAAAATAAACTTCATGTATAAATGTCAGCATGAACACTATAGTATATGAAGTTTTTTTAATGTTATTAGGTAGATCAGTACAAGAGCAATATCATATTGAGAACTTGTGTCCCCCTTTTTTATAAAACAAGACAAACGATGGCTTATATAGCAGACTTGAATAAAACCAATTTGAAAATCCGATATATATGTGAACTACTAACAAACACGTTGCACATAGATATTACGCTACAGAAGAAGTTGTCTAGGTATAAAATACACTAACACTAGTCACCAATATGTACGACTATTTGAAAAGGTAACGGAATACTAAGAAAAAATATGTGGATGTAATGGTACGTACTTCAGATACAAATATTCGATCAAAAATCAATGCAAAAATTTCTCCAGTTGGTTTGAAAGCGCAACAACCGCGTCCTTGCCCGAGTCTACATACACCACTGCCATGACAACAACAAATGCTGGTGCACGATCAATTCTGTATGTAACATACGCAAGATTTGCTTCAAATAGTTTTGCCTTCACATGTCAAACAAGGTACTGTAAAAAGTAATAGGGCATTGGATTCAAAATACTAGCGTACTGAAACTATGGAGCTTTTCCCAATATCTATATTCCAAAGGTGACCTAGGTGGTGGTTTGGGGATATAAGCATTCATCCAGACGTATACTTGGAGTGAAACCCGAAAAATGTGCTATCTGAATGATGTATCTGAAGGAGGTAGTATCACTAAGTTAGCACCATAAGAAAGCGCCGAGTTTATTCAGATCTCCATGTACTGATTCAGCATTGCTTCTTGGGTCATATTGATCGGCGATGAATGGACTTGCAACAGATGTGTCAATATTAAAACCAGCTAGATTGACAAATGTTGATACATGTATGGGTTTTGTTTCGACGCCTTTTTTGCAAATTCCGACTGAAGAAGACGTGTCGAATCATGTAAGAGCGTGAGCAACCGGTGGTGTGCCAGACATCAGTGGTCCAATAACTAAAAAAAGTTGCTTATGTCTCGAACAGGTAAACACCGTCTTGAAGAAATGCTTCCAGTCTGAAACCAAAATTCATTCACTTACAGATCCTGCCCAATTTTTTGCAAATCAAAATGATTGCATTGCGAGAGTGCATAGTCAACTACAAATCTTATCAACCCCTGTTTATTTTCAGGTGCTCAAAGAAATGTCTTACAATCTCTAATTGATCTGCATTCAATGAATCAAAGAACCTTAGATCTTCCACAATTTGAAATAAACCGTGTTGTCTCTTTGACGCATTCCCCGTTTCCATTATCAATTTAACTCCTTATTCTTTCTGCTGATTTTGTAGAATGTTCCACATCATATCGACCAAACACGTCCACGATAAACCCGAAGTTTTCGAAAATAGCTATTAGGGTTTTTAAAGGCGTCCTTGGCCAAATCTAAATAATTTATGTTCCTTTTTACATAAAGACTTTGTACAATTCCCATACCATCTCTCATCAGGGGTTTACTGATTTTTAAAACAGGGATATCACACACTCAGCTTAAGGTATACATTTCTGTACAGTATCACATGAGAGTGCATTGTAATCATTATCCATACGAAAATAGTTGTCATGTAATAACCAGGAAAAGTACTTATCAGAGAGGTAGGAATAGATTGTAAAGCTGTGGAATACTAAATGTTGACGGAAATAGATAGAAATAATTTGAAATTTCGAACGATCGGAAAGTGCTTTTCACAATTTTTTCCGCATCATGAAGGATCTGGAAGAAAGAAACAATATGTAACTAGCAAACCATACGACAACAAAATTGCTTTTTTCACAAACAGATCATCATGTAGACTTTCTGTTAGTTTTTGAAAGCAACATCATGCTCCGACTGATTTGAAGCATCAGAAACAATTAAATTTTTCATTTCATCCAGTACTTAACAATGCATGCTAAATGATGCAGCACCTGAAGTTATCTATGAAGAGTGAACTCACCACTGGATAGCCTGCCTGGTAATTTGCGTCATTCAAAACATAATCGGCACGCTCAAATGACTCGACATGCCTTAATTGCTTAGCTCGATGTATTACTTTTGTCTGCAGAATAAATATTTGGACCAGTCGAATGATAATGCCATGGAGCGTGTTTAAACGAAGTGATTCATCATCACACGCATTGGTTTTTCCCTAATTCAAATGTATCAAAATGTATTCTTCTTGTGCATGTTAAGGCTTTATAACACGAACTAAGCTAGTTTACTTGTTCTTATTTGATGGAATTGGCGCTGCCCAAAATTTTCCGGATTCATTCGGATGTGTTCCAATGTGGTTTAAAATAAGTCTATTCGAAAAACTCAATAAAAATAAAAACGTAGTACAAGTTGTTAAATCTTAACATCTGTACTTATTCAAACACCTAGACACAAACATTGATACAAATCTATATTCTTATTTTCAAAAATTAAGAAAATGCATATTTAATTCATTGTAAAAACCACAGCAATTCATAAGTCAGGGGAAAATAGGAAAAGGGAACGTTACATGACTTATTGGGGTGAATATGGAATAGTAAAACTGCTATAATAATTATTATGATGAGTATTATAAAAAGACTTGTAAAAGTTTATTTGTATGTTGTATCAAACTTTGATATATCAAAGCTTCTTAATTATTCGTTGTTCCACTATTTTTTGTCAAAATCGTCGACGTTTGATTTATGTAAGAAATTTAATATACTTTGAAAGACGGTAGAGTTTGAAAAAAATGTCACATGCAATTGAAATTCTTCAAATTAACTCTATGTGCATTTTCAAATGATATTTTAATTGTGATATTAAATGAAAGCTGATACATTATTCTTTAATTCCATAGCAAATATTTGCTGATATCTTCATTCAGTAATTAATTATAAGCGTTCCCTTGTTTGATAATGAAAAAGAAAAAAAAATCGGAACATCACGCTTTACCGCAATTTTACAAAAAAACTGCACCGTGGGAAAATTCTACGACAGGGCTAAAATGATAGTATAATGTTTACGCTATCATCATGTGGATGCAGATGATATTGTTTTGATATCGGAATCTGCAAAAGGTCTACAGAATTGTTTAAGTAAGTTATCAAATTATTGTGACACATGGAATTTATCAGTAAATATAGACAAATCAAAGGTTATTATATTCAATAAATCTGGAAGAGTAATTAAAAAAGACAATTCTAAGTACAAGGAATATGCACTAGAAATTACACAAGAATATAAATATCTTGGAGTATTATTTAAACCTTCAGGTAGCTTCACCAAAGCAAATGAATATTTATGTAAAAAAGCAAGGAAAGCATCATTTTGCATTTCCAAAACTCTACATTCAGACAAACTAAATATATTACCAAATCTTAAATTATTTGACTCATGTGTAAAACCTATACTTCTTTACTGTAGTGAAATTTTATGTCTAGATACTTTGTTGAAAATTAATGCTTCCATGGAGTCTAGATATTTTTTATATCAACCTGTAAAAGTACAAATTAAATTTGCTAAATACATCTTAGGAGTTAACAAAACTGCATCAAATTTGGCAGTTTTGGGGGAATTGGGTACGATCCCATGTTCTGTTGATGCTATCAAACTGTGTCTAGGTTACTGGCATCATGTAGTCAATTCAAATCCAGATAGTTTAACAAATATGATTTATTATTAAGTGTTAATAATAACTCAGACAGGTATAGCACAAAAATTAAATTGTTATTTGAAAAAGTTGGATTTAAACATGTCTGTGAAAATCAAAATACTTAGTAAAAATCGTTTAACTTTTGCTATAAATAAAAAACTGGAAAATGATTTCATAAAATTTTGGGAGAATTCCATTTCAAAAAGTGTTAATGATAAAAGAGGAAACAAATTAAGAACCTACAAGGATTTGAAGAAGAAATTTGATATGGAGAACCTTTTTAAATTAGATATAGACAGAGCTGATATTTCAAACTTTGTAAGAATAAGGATAAGTAATAGTATCCTTATGATTGAAAAAGGCAGACATAAAAAGATTGATTTAGAAAACAGATTATGCCCCCTTTGTAAATTTGAAGTTGAAGATGAATTACACTTTACCATAAAATGTACCAAACTCAATGATTTGAGGTATAAATTTTTTCCGAATATTTAAGATATTTTACCATCTTTCAATAATCTTTCAGACATTGAAAAATTCTTTTTTATATTTCGAAGTAATGATTATGATGTCAGTAAATGTTGCATTAAAGGTATTAATGAGATGTACAAGTTCAGACGTTCACTAACTTAAGTTATTTTAGGTTTATATTATATAAATTGTATTACTAGTATCTAAAACTGTACCTCCTCAGTCAAAAAGATAAAAGGGAAAAATAAAAATTCTCATTATATATATATATATATACCTTTTTTTTATGTTCTGTATTGTTATATAATTGATTGTAATGATTAATGTTTGTTCTTTGTCTGTGTGTTAATGACAATCCATATTTTGGATTTTATACCAACAAAATCTTTGACTTTGACTTTGACTTTGACTTTGTGGATTTTCAGCCGTGAGGTATGTCGGTCCATTAAACTCTTAAAATGAGCGACTTTTTCTTGATTTGTCACTCCACTATATATATGATTATTTTAATATCTTTTATATGGTTCAGAGAGGACTATCTAAACTGTGATAACTGGTGTCTGAACCTTACTTTGTCTAAGTGATAGTAAATAATCTCGCAATATTTTATTAGATAGGAACAAAAGCCTTAACCGAAAGATATTTTGTCACAACTTATTTCATTCGAAGATGCAATGGTGTTGGGTTTTTTTTTTTGGCGTTTAATAAAAAAAATGGGATCAACTGTGTACCATATATTATTGGAACTGAATTTGGTGTATTTTGATACAGAAATTATATTTATTATCCCCGTCGCTATGTGGTGGCGGAACATGCTTTTAAGTCCTTCTGTTTATTTTTCAATCTGTAAACACAACTCCTCTGAGATTATTTGCCCTTAAAATTTTCATACTATAGCGATTTGTGTCTCATAATGTGAAATTGACCATACTATATCGGAATTTTGATTCTTCAATTTTGCCTGCGTAAGTGAATTTTGGCCATTTTGGTATAGAATCTTGTAAATGCTGCTGCTCCAAATCCGTTTGCTGCTCCTTTGATAAAATGTAAGATATTTGTTGTAGTCAGCAGGCGATACCCGTTTCCTGACGGATACAGTAATGGCCATTCAGGTATTTAGCAAAAAAGAAGCTTATCGATATAATTCGATGAACGATGTTAGTATGTTGTTTCAACGTGTCAACACGATGTTGTGTGTAGAAAATTGTAATGACAAAGGTCAATGCATCTCAGGTATGTTTATAATAATAACTATTAAGTAATCTTGTATAATTATTCAAACAATTTTAGTTATATATACACGACTATGATCGTGTACTTGACAATCGAGATTATATTGTAAGCAGAATAACTGATATATTTAGATTCTCTCAAAATACCAAACTTCAATTTGGATAAATGTTCTTTATTTGAACTACATGTAGCAATATTTCAAAATGCACAAAAGGATGCCATAAATGTCTACTCCAAATCAGCCAACAAATGATTATTGTATTTTTATTTCAGGCAAATGTTTATGTAATGATGGTTATATTGGATTAAGTTGTTCTTTTCATATATCGATACCTCCTCAGGTTCTGTCTCTTCCTGCAGATGGTTTGTGTGACAGTGTAGCTAGACCGTGCAGAAAAACAAATATTTATGGAGAATTTTATTCAAAAGATATCATCTGTAAAAGTGAATACTTTCTTGTGAGTAGCATATGCTTTACCAATGATTAAATTTGATGTTAACAGAATCTCCTTTTAAACTTTTGATTTAGGCAGAAACACATCATATGGTACCAAGTAAAACCACAAAATTATGCCAATAAAAAAATCTGAAAATGATATAATTTTGATGTTGTTGGACACTTTTAACGACATATTTTTCTTATGATTTGTGGACGTTTTTATCAATCGATATTAAGCACTTTATCGGGAACCAACTGGGTTACTCATCTCGTCAAATTATATACTCAGGTGCCAGACACATTCCGCCATATAAATGGAGTCATTTCACAGAACAAATAGAATTTTGATAAGCATTTAGATTTTTTTCTATCACTTTCGCCTTAATTTTATAATGCCAGTCCTGTTTCAATATCTAAAGTTCTTGTCTATTCTTACCAACTGATTTCATTTCAAATTCTCATATTTGGTCATGATAAATGGTAAAATAATTTACATGTACTGATTGTTTAAAAAAATTGGCTTTCTTTAGATTAAAAAAAAACAGACAATGCATGTTTAACCCCGCCGCATTTTTGCGCCTGTCCCAAGTCAGAAACCTCTGGCCTTTGTTAGGTTTGTATGTTTTTTTTAAATTTTAGTTCATTTATATGTTTCGGAGTTTAGTGTGACGTCCATTTTCACTGAACTATTACAAATTTTTGTTTAGGGGCCAGCTGAAGCCCGCCTCCGGGTGCGGGATTTTCTCGCTGTGTTGAAGAACCATTGGAGCCTTGGGCTGTTTTCTGCTCTTTGGTCGGGTTGTTGTCTCTTTGACACATTCCTATTTCCAATCTCGATTTAATAACCAATCTACTACTGTATGATGACCAATCACCGGTTATGAGTTATCTAAAACGAGTCATAAAAGCAGTGTTTTATTGGAGCGTATGAGTTCATCTCTACTTGTTGGTGCTATCTAATTTTAGTTTTCTGTGAAATCCTTTGTGGCCTTTTTTTCATTTTGATTTTTTTCATGCATGGAGTGGTCGTTCTTTCTTTTTACATGTTTTGCTTATTTTTACACTACAACAGATATAGTTAAGTCTGTCTCATATCTTGACTTATATCTAGAAATTGGCAATGAGGATCGGTTGAAAACAAAACATTATGAGAAAAGAGATGATTTCAGCTTCCCAACTGTGAACTTTCTATTTCTATGTAGCAACATTCCAGCAGCGCCTGCATACGGAGTATATATCTCCCAGTTGATTCGATATTTCGGGGCTTTTATTTCCTATCATGATTTCCTTGATAGAGGGTTGCTGCTCACAAGGAAGCACAGATGATAACGGACATGTTCCATGTGTCGTAACTACAATCCTGTCCCCTTTTACCGAATATGACCTACCGAATGAGACTTGTTACCGGGTTTGTACTAACATGAGCAATACGACGGGTGCCACATGTGGAGCAGGATCTGCTTACCCTTCCGGAACACCTGAGATCACCCCCAGTTTTTTGGTGGGGTTCGTGTTACCCAGTCTTTACTTTTCTATATTGTGTTTTGTGTACTATTGTTTGTCTGTTGGTCTTTTTCTTTTTAAGCCATGGCGTTGTCAGTTTATTTTCGACTTATGAGTTTGAATGCCCCTCTGGTATCTTTCGCCTCTCTTTTAAACGATGTCTGATAAAATAGTTAATATGAGATTTGGGTAATTGTAAAATCAACATTGTTTCTTCTAAAACCTAAATGTTACGTACCCAAACTACTATCAGTTCTTTACATCGTTTGTTTTTTAGCTCATCTGGCGCTTTGAGGGCCATTTGAGCTTATGCCATCACTTGGCGTCCGTCGTCGTCTGTTGTCGTCGTCATAAACTATTTCAAGAATATTCTCCTCTGAAACTACTGGGCCAAATACCTTCAAACTTTAACTTAATGTTCCTTAGAGTATCTAGTTTATAATTTATTTTTTTGATCCATCAACAAACATGGCCGCCGTGGCTAAAAATAGAACATAGGGGTCAAATGCAATTTTTGACTTATATCTCAAAAACTAAAGCATTTAGAGCAAATCTGACAAGAGGTAAAAATGTTCAATAGGTCAGCATCTATCAGCCCTGAAATTTTAAGACGAAATGAACAACCCATTGTTGGGTTGCTGCCACTAAATTGATAATTTTAAGGAAATTTTGCGGTTTTTGGTAATTATCTTGAATATTATTGAAGATAAAGATAAACTGTAAACAGCAAAAATGTTCAGCAAAGTAAGATCTACAAAAACGTTAAATTAATCATATTGTTAAGTGACACCTTAAGGAGTTATTGTCCTCTAAAGACAAGTTTACACAATGTGTTCATTATGTTTGCTTACATTTAAAATACTTCTCCTCTGAAACTACTGGTCCCAATACTTCAAAACTTTAACTGAATGTTCCTTAGGGTAACAGGTTTATAAAATGTATCCGAAATTTTGATCCATTGACAAACATGGCCGCCATGGCTAAAATAGAACATAGGGGTCAAATGCAGTTTTTGGCTTTTATCTCAAAAACTATAGCAGTTACAGAAAAAGTGACATGGAGTTAGGTTCTTCATAAGGAATTGAAAAATATGGCCGTGTTTACATTACAAAATCTACTATGAGTTCAGACAAACTGGTGCATCTATGAAAGTTTTGAGGCATGGCAGGACCTCGATATATATAGTTATATGTAGTCTATGTTTCATAAAATTAAAAAGTGACCTGGTATTTGATGTGTATTTTTTCCAGTCTGCAGAAGATAGCAAAATAAACAAACAAAAATGAATTTCATTTGAAACGGTCCACTCAGTTACACAGTTTAACTCACTTATTGTTTGCAGATCTCTATTGTCCATCTATTGTCCATTTAAATCATTACTACTCACAACATTTATTATATGAGGGGAGCTTCTCAAACTTCTTTCTCAAATTAGTTTATTTTGGCACCTTCTGCAGGAACGAACAAAAAATTTAATATCAAAATCCAGAAAAGTGTATTTTTTTATGAAACATTAAATGCATTTAAAATTTAATGATCTAGTTCCTGCCATGCATTAAAACTTTTCCAGGTGCACAGGTTTGTCTGTTATCAGAGTAAAATTTGAAACCGGCCATATTAGCCAAAAGGTTATGATGAACCTTAAAGTGATGAATAAGTCAAAATCTATATGATATGAAATTTTCAGACCAATTGGACCACCGATTGTAGGGTTACTGTCCAAAATAGTTTATTTTTATGAAATTTTACTGTTTTTGGTTAATATATAGTATTATCTTTAATATTATAATAGATAGAGAGAAAGTGTAAATGGCAAAACTGTTCAGCTAAGTAGGATCTACAAACAAATCAAATGATCAAAATAATAATTGACTCCTTAAGGAGTTATTGCCCTTGAAACGTTTATGTTTTACATTTTTTCGTGGAAGTCAATTACTTTTTCAAAAATTTCCTTTCTGAAACTACTGGGCCAAATACTTTCAAACTTTAACTGAATGTTCCTTAGGGTATCTAGTTTGTAAATTGTATCCAAAGTTTTGATCCATCAACAAACATGGCCGCCACGGCTAAAAATAGAACATAGTGGACAAAAGCAGTTTTTGGCTTATATCTCAGCAGTTAGAGCAAAAGTGAAAGGAGTTAAAGTAATAAATGGGTCATGATCTATCTGTTATGAAATTTTCAGACAAGTTCGACAACCCATTGTTGGGTTACTGTTGGAAATAGTTTATTTTTATTAAATTTTACTGTTTTGGTTATTTTCTTTAATATTATAATAGATAGAGAGAAAGTATAAATGGCAATACACGTTCAGCTAAGTAAGATCTACAAATAAGTCAACATGATCAAAATAGTCAATTGAATCCTTAAGGAGTAATTGCACTTAAAACGTTTTTTTTTTTACATTTTTTGTGAAAGTCTAATTACTTTTTCAAAAACTTCTTCTCTGAAACTACTTGGCCAAATACTTAAAAACTTTAATTGGATGTTCCTTATGGTATCTATTTTATAGATTGTATTCAAGGATTTGATCCATTTAAAAACATGGCGGCAGTTTCTAAAAATAGAACATAGGGGTCAAAGAAGTTTTTGGCTATATTCTCAAAAACTAAAGCAGTAAGAGCAAAACTGATATAGGTAAAAGTGTTAAACAGGTTTAGATCTACCTGTCAAGTAATATTCAGAACTTATTGTTGGGTTACTTTCCAGAAATAGTTAAATTTTAGCAAATTTTACAGTTTTTGGTTATGTATTACCTTTAATATTATTATAGAAATAGAAAAAGTGTAAATGACAAAATTGTTCTACAAATAAGTCAAATGCCTGAAACTGAAATTACAGGTGAGCGATATCAGGCTCTCATGAGCCTCTTGTTAGCATTATGATGTGTTTGCTTTAAGAATTTTCAATGACATTTCCTCAATGGAAGTATCCCATAAATGTGACAGTTCGGACCAACCGTCAGTTTATGTTTACTGTCCTCCACAGCAATACACTGAATATGGAATGTTCCCTTGTGGTGTAAAAAATACATATCTACATGTTAAAAGATTAATAAGATTTGGCTAGATTTAATTTTCCTAAACTGCAATGCCTCAAATTTGCTAGTATGTATAATGAGTTGAAAAATAAAATGATATACTGAACATGCGTAATTGAAAAAAAATATGTATTTTCAGATTAAAAGTAGCCGAAAAGATTATAAATCATCAAACTCAACATCTAAAGCCCTATATAGAAACTTTTTCATGGTCACTTGTGATTTTGAAGAGCCTACAAATGAAGTTTTAGACAAAAGTGCCACAATTGGAAAAGGTTTCGACATATCCTTATCCTATGATGGAATTCATTTCAGCAGAACTCTCAGTTTAGTTATCTTTGATCCATCGTGTATGAGTTGTAGTTCAAGGCCAATTTACTGTCATAAGAAGGTAATTTATAGATATTTTAATGAAAACATTGTAAAGAACTACATAACAAGAAAATTTTATTTTATAACTAAAATTGATCATAAAGAATTGAAACAATGTGGCGGGGTTCAACATGGTGTAACTGCACAATATAAGAAAAAAACTGTAAAAATCAGTTCTAAATGGTTTAAGGATGTTCGCTCTTCTTATTTTTGAACTTTTGCCAGATATTCGGAATCCTCTGGTTTTATCCATGTAGTGCCATGAACACTTTTGCCCACTAAACCCTACTTTTCTTTTCATAATTTGATTACAGATAGCCTAATGCATCTTTGAAAATCTTATTAAATAAATGTTATTTTTTCATAGTTTTTGAAAGAAAAAAGGTGCCAATGTTAAATGTATGATAAATCCAGAGATAATTTTCCGCCAAGTTTTCAAAAATTTATGTTATCTCGAAAACAAGCACACGGGCCCTTAATTTTTTTTCTGCTTATTGTTTTCCTTTTTTATATATAATCAATTTTTAGTCCAAATTTGCCAAGTGGTATAATAAAAGCTGAAAACGAAGGTTGTTATGTTGTGCAATCCCTGTTTTACACTGTCTTTTGTTTTTGGTCATGCTAACCTAAAAAAAATGTTTGAAATAACAATTTCAAGAAAACACAACAAGATATTGCTATTGGTAACGATTTAAATGCAATCAAAATGGAAAACATAGTTAATATGTCTAGATATATACATGTAGCGAAATATTGATTTAAATATCATATATTGTATAATTTACTTTAAAAAAAGGAATGTTTGAAAACACCATTTATTAGATTATTTTCTTTCAGAGTAATTGTGGTGGTTAACAATCATGGTTAAGGAGGTGATATCCAATGAGAACATATTGTGCTCCACAACATATAATTGCCGAGTTGAATGTAGTCATCAAACTGAGTCTCCCAACAAATTTCATTGAGACGCCATGTCATCATTTAAGTATCAAATACAAATGTATTGGACATTATCTAAAGAAGGATATTGCTTTCTTCAATTGCACATATACAGCACATTTTACCCATAATTTGTATATTGTATAATTGCTAACTCTTATCATCACTATATATATGCACATTTATGATATTGTGTTAACTGTGTTAAACGATTAAAACAATTATATCGCTGTTTAATACTATACTGTTATTTGAAAGAAAAAAGCAACCAATAACAGAAACCTAAAAGACAGCTAGATGTCAAAATATGGCCTTCAACAACAGACAAATGTTTTTACAATATGGCAGGCTCTAAATCGCTCCGAGTATCGAAACATTGTTTATAAATTTAACATAAATTATCAAAAGATCGTCATCAACATCAAATTGCATAACGATAAAAAAAAACTTCAGCTAAAAACAAACACTGGCAAGGTTTCCAAGGTTGGGACAAGCACATGAAATGCAGTAGAGTAAGCTCATATTCATTTGTAGGCATGCGGTATGAGATCTTAATCCTTCTCATTCGTACATTGATTAAAAGGAATACAATGAGGTACAAAGAAGACCGTGCAATACAAATCTGCTTTTAAAACAAAAACACTTTGAATTAATATCTCCACAATAGAAACAGCACAGATAAATTAAATAAAATAAATAAATTTCAAAAAGAAATGTATGACTTTTATTGTCAGAGAAAACATATGTATATGTGTTAATACTCATAAAATCGAAGCAACCTTATAGAATGCATATATTAACTTGTGATGTTGAAATTATATAATATAAACTGAAATTGGTATGGATTGCTTAAAATATATATAGTTTTCAGAATAAGATGAACAGTCATGAATAAAGCTATCATACTTGCGAAATAGCAGTAACTCCGTCTGGTCGCATTTAATATCACTCGAAAAAACCTGATCTACATTCGAAAAAAAAGTGGACCAATTCACCAGAAAAACACGATCTCAGCTGGACACTATACTTACCGTGTTACACGACATGATAAAATGAGACACCAAACGACATAAATCCTGCTAAAAAAATAAACAAAAAGTAAATATGACAAAAAGAAACCGAAATAGATTACCATTTAGATTGGTTACTTCAATTTACTAATATGTTTATCGTTGATATGAACATTTAAAAATTACTTCAAATTACGGTTTTGTTTAAACAGTGTGTTTTGTTTTTCTTCAAAATATATTAAATTGGAAGGTGCAACAGGCTAAGCATCTGTAAGCCCTCTCCAAGAGAGAGAAAAAAAAACCAACGCATACACAAACATAATGCCAACACAAAAACACACTTCATTATTAAAATTACCTCACAACTGAATCATTACAATAATTAATTAACGTACAACGGCAACTATTACATAAATGTGCAGGCTGAAAATAATGTTTATGTAATATGTTTATATGGTATGAATGTATTCAGCTTTTACAAGACCAACACGATGAGTTGGATGTTAAAGTTCTACCTTTTAACATTAGCCTGGCTCCGAGCTACTAATCTTTGGTCTTACTCTTAAATTCAGCGTGTATAGCGGATAAGCAGTGTAAAGCAGATATCAACAACCTCACTTTCGAGGCTAGCACAACGTTCATTGCCACACCATTGATTCAGTATTCCTACCGTACCAATACTTAGAATTGAAACCAATGATAAAAGGCAATATATCGATAAAAAAGGAAAACAACACGTTAAAAGTGCATGTGTCCGAAGCGCTTTTCTGGATTTATCTTCATCAGGAACGCTCAAAGTCGAATATTTGAAAGCCAAGGATCTGTAAGAACCGAAACAGTTGATAAAAGTTTAAAGATGATTGTTCAAAATGTACGTTCAATCATTTCATTTGCCGACATGGATGCAGATAGTGAGAAGCCGTAAAACAAAACAAAAAATATTAAATCAAATCAAATTTACAAAGGTACAGTAGCAAATATTTACATACTCAACCGCACCACATTATACGGCTTACTGCGAGTTGGTCAGTTTTCACTGTTACCAATGGCGGATCCAGGGGGCGGGAGGGGGGGTCCGGGGGTTGGAACCCCCTTTTTTTAACGATCAATGCATTCGAATGGGGACATATAGTTGGAACCCCCATTTATCCTGGGTTAGGAACCCCCCCCCTTTTATAAATGGCTGGATCCGCCCCTGGTTACTCCTAAATGTTGGGAGCTTCATCAAGCAAGTGACGTTTTGTCAAAAGTGTAGAACAATCACAATAGTGAAAAAGGAGTTAACTATCCAACCAAGAATTCCTTTTGTCCGTTTCGACCAATAAATTCGAAATTCGCTGTTATCTTTTGTTTAATTGTGAAAACCAAATAGTTCTGAATGAATTATCTGAAGCACTCTTCTTTAAATGTTTTTTTTTAATTAAAAATGATTAAATTCGTTTTGTTCTTTTTATTCCTAATTAAGAATGATCATAATCAAAGCTGTGTTTCTTATTTTAAAATTAATGATCTGCTTTTGAGAAATATTTATTTTGTTATTCTATTTTCCCCCGTTTACAACCTTCTGCCTCTTGTTTTATTGTTTACATTAACTTTCAAGTAAAATTTAATGTTCATTTCATTTCGTTTCGGTATATTTCGTTTTGTTACGTTCCGTTCCGTTTTTATTCCGTTTCACACTTTACAAGTACCTCAAACGCAATAATGATTCATATGTTCTCTTTTCGCCCGTTTTCTATTTTTAATTTCTTGATCAAAAATTTTAAAAATTCAAACTTTCAAAAAGCGAAAAATTCAAAACTGCACGTTAAGTTTAGTATTTTTTATATGATTAAATATCGAAACTATCAAATTTTAAAATGAATTTTAGAATTTAAAAATTTTGATTATTTGGTGAAATTTCATAAAATTTCATAAATTTGGAATGTTCATATTTTAAAACTTTGATCAAAAATCCAAAAAACTAAAATTTTAAACTTTTTAAAATTTTGAATTGTTAATTGTTGTTAAATAAGACAGTCATGGCAATCCATAACTTTGTGACGTTTGTCTTTTTATTAGTTTTTTCAAGGCTTCCATGCCGATTTGGTGAGTACTGTCCTTTCCAACTGATTTTTACAATTCATTCTTATGTTGTGCTTTTACACCTCTGTAACAAGTTCAGGGGTGGTTGAGCGCTCACAAACACGAAGGGGGTGCTCATTTCCCAACTACCGCTTTTTGTCATTTTTCCTTCTTCCCATGTTTTTCTTCTTTTCCCCAGATCCCACTGTTCTACCCCTCATCCCACATCTTCACTATTTTACCCCCTTTATCCCACATCCAAAAAGCCTTTCACCCTCAAACATGTTAAATCCCGCCACATTCCATCAGGAGCCCATGTTTCCGTGGTTGATGTTGGTTGCCGTGTTGTATATGTGCTTATTGTTTTGAGCATAAATCAGGCTTTCGATTTTCTCTCTTGACTTGTTTTACATTTTGTAATGCCGAGTTCTTTTATATCTTACTATACTGTATATGGAATTGCTAATTATTAAAAGCTGTAGATGTAGTAATTTTTGTTCGTCCTTGGGTAGTTTCAAATCTCCTTATCTTTATGTATATTCAATCAATGATTTATTTAATGATAAATGATTTACAGTTTTAGTAAATGGGAAACTTGTTACTCGCCTTTTTCGTTGGTTGAGTATTGCATAGTTGCGAACGTCATTACGAGTTTGTTGACCGTTATGGGATTTATGCGTCACATTTGTTCGTGGATATGTTGTGATAACGGCTATCCCGTTCACATTTCCTCGATTTTGACATCACAGAATGTGTTCTTAGCATCTGCAACATGGCGGGTGCCACATGTGGGGCATAATCTGCTTACCCTTATCGGACACCAATACTTTTGTTTAAAGGAGGTTCGTTTTGCTCTTACTCTAGTTTCTAGTCTTGTTTTGTGTTCCTTTTTCAATGTGTGTTGTTTCTAAGATAACAGTCTGTCTATCCTTTGTCCAAACAAAAAGTTTTTCACTTTCAATTCCACATGTGCGATGGTTTACGAATTGGTGATGTGTTAGGGTTATAATAGAGTCAATTACCATTCCGCTATTACGTGATTCCTAATCTCTTGATAAAACTTTATCAACGGAGTTTATAGGAGATACACGACGGATGTCAAATATGGAGCCGGATCAGCTTACTCTACCGTAGCACCTGAGATCACCTCAGGTTTTTGATTGGGGTTCGAGTTGCTCAGTCTCGAAATTTCTATCTTCAGTGTTTTGTTGTCTTGTCTTTTCGTCCTTCTCTCGTTTTTTGTCATGGTGTTGTTAGTTTCTCTTCGACCGTTATGAGTTTTGAATGTCCCCTTGGTATTTCCCGCCTCTTATTTATTATGGATAAGACTGTGTCTGTCTCACACAAGCTCCTATATTACATGCATACCCCTTTTCCCGCGATTTCTAAACTTTAGAATTAACCTCACTGAAAGTTTAACGGACAAGACGATTTGGACATAGCAAAGACCATTATCTCCGACTCGGACAAGCATCGTTTTAGATTGGAAATATTACCCTCGGTTGTCTCAGGTTTTCGTGTTTTCGATGTAAAGTCTGATAATTCTATCAGAAAGTGATCAGTCATTTAAACTTGTCGCGAATATCTTGTGCTCAAATACTTATTCATATACTTCTTAAGAATTTATCCCCTATTTGGACATAAACCCACACTTTGCATCTTGACCACGCAAGTTGCATTTACTATTGCTTACATAACAAACAACTCAGCAATGATAATTCAAAGATACTGTTTTTGAATAATTTATTTAACTTGCATACCGTGACTGGATTGAATTATTCCCCTTACAACGTATCCAAATGAAAATAAAATACATTCATTTAGTGATTTATAATAATGTTATATGGATCTTGTTCCGTTATCCCTTGGTACATTAAATTCATATGTAAACACGCAAAAAGATTATTTTCACTTAATTGTTTATTTCACAGCTCATTTTAATCATACAATTGCGGCAATCAAATCTTAATGACTTTCATGTTAGAACCATCTTTTGAATTCCGTCCGGGGAAATTATTTGGAAGAAAATAGTTATTGCAAATCAGATAGCAAAATTGCTGCAGTTATTCGCTCGATTATCCTCGATATTTTCATTTGGAGAATAGGCATACTAAATCGGTAAAATCTATGGGGAGCAACTGTGATTTAGAAAGTTTATTCCAA